ATGGGAAAATAAATCCCTACAACATCTGAAAGAAGCTCTACACCAACTCTCGTCCATGGTGAGCCCTCTCCCGAGAGAAACTGTGCATATGTACTTGGCAGCATTTTGTGACGCCATATCATCAGTGCTAGCCGTTGAGAGTGAAAAGCAGCAATTGCCAATACCCTTTGTGAGTAGAGCATTATAAGGTCCTGAACTGAATTATCCAATGTTGGAGAAGTTGTTCCTCGCATTAATTTATACAGCCAGGCGACTCAGACGCTACTTTCAAGCTCACAATATTGAGGTTCTAACCAGCTATCCCATAAAATAAAGCATGTTAAGGCTAGAGAAGTCGGGACGCCTAGATTAGTGAGAAATCAAGATAGGCGAGCATGACATAGATTATCGATCACGCACTAGCATCAAATCTCAGGCACTACCAGACTTCTTATTCGAGTTCCTTGATACGCTCAAGAATGTACCAACAGTTCTCCTAATAGACCCTTCAGAGCCGGAGGCTAGTCGGGACATTTAGGAATTGCATAATGACGGAGTCGCAAGCAAGGAGGGGCCAGGAGTAGGCTTAATCATCAAGATCCCTAATGGCGATGAAATCACATACACTTTACGTTTCAACTTCCTAGTCTACAATAATGAGGCCGAATATGAAGCACTCCGAGTAGGACTTCGGCTTGCCCGATAAGTTGGAGTGACATAACTTGCAACCCTCAGTGACTCTCTTCTCGTTACCAACTAGGTTAACGGCACATACGAGGCCAAGTATCAAAGAATGCAAAGGTACCTTAACATAGTAAGGGAGTTGGTTCAATCATTCAAGAGCTTCTTGATCAAACAGATCCCTCGGGGAGAAAATGCAAGGGTCGTTGTCTTTAGCAAGTTGGCTTCAACATCATTCACCACATGACCAAGAAGGTCCTGGTGGAAATTCTCCCCAAAAGAAGCATTGATAACCAACATGTCAACATTATGACGACAACTACAGATTAGAGCACGCCCTTCATAGATTATATTTTGCACGAGATCCTCCCAGATGATCCCAAAAGGGCCAGAAGGATCAGGATTAAAGCGTCATGGTTGGATATAAGGGATAAGCATGTACAAGAGGGGATTCATGGCACCATGGTTGAAGTGCATAGCAAGCACCGAGGGACAGTTACTTTTGGAAGAAAGCCACGCAGGGGAAGTCGGAGCACATACACTCACTGGTAAAATTATCTGCCGTGAAGTACATTGTCCGGAAAGATAAAAGCGCCACGGTTGGATATAAGGGATAAGCAATTATACATGAGGGGATTCTTGGCACCATGGTTGAAGTGCATAGCAAGCACCGAGGGACATTCAATTTTGGAAGAAAGCCACGTAGAGGAAGTTGGAGCACATGCACTCACTAGTAAAATTATCTGCCTGAAGTACATTGTCCGGACTGTTGGGTTATGCACAATACATCAATCCTATGGTGTACATGTAAACCCTAATGCTTGGATCTAGTTTTTCTAGTTGTACATGCATTAATTATCCAAGGCTTGCAAACCCTAATCTAGCTTACAACAAAACTCGATTTCTATAACTAAAACCAAGTTATAAACATACATTTGATTATAGCTTGAAGACCTTGAGCTTTTAAGAACCTTAGTACCTCAAATATTGTTGCCCGTTTGCCTTCAATCGATATGTATTGAACGTTAATAAATTATATGATTTTTTTTTGCTAAAAAATAAAAATAAATAAATTTAAAATTTGGAGAATCTTAGAGAGAGAGAGAAAGAGAGAGAGAGAGAGAGAGAGAGAGAGAGAGAGAGGAAGGTAATTTTGGCTCTTGGAACTCTACTTAAGGTTTTTGGTAGCCGAATTCTAGTGCCCAAGGGTTATTTATATAGCTGCAAAGTTAGGGTTTCAGTCAAAGACCTAATCCGGTTACTTATGCTCTAAGCAGCCCACAAGATCCTTCTAGAATCCCTAGCTTGGACTATTTCTATATGGGCTCCCATATAAAATCATCCATCCCTTTCTTAAGGGATCCACAACCCATTTTGCAACTATCTTATAATTACAATATCAGTCCCTTTAGTTTAATCAACCTCTTTTGACCACAAAGTTAATTCTAAATCAATTCTTGACCAATGTTAATTAATAAATATGATTTCTCCTTTAATATATTATTCGTTTAATATATTAATAAACCATAACAACCTCTTTCTCCATTATTCATCCAGTTAAGTTGCTTCGGTGAAGGCAGCCCAAAAGGATCATGCTAAAACCGAGTCAAATACATACCAAATATAGTTATGGGCTTAGACACCTAATCCAACACGAACATCTACGAGGATGCATCCTAACTCACTAAAAAGTTCCTAGAGTGTTAGGATTTTGCCCCTTTTCCAAAACCAACCTGCCATGCCACTCACTAGCCTTAGTAGCCATTGGCCTTTTCATCAATAGGGCATAGACATTGTTGGTTTATTTCCTATTGCCCTAGGCAGAGCTAAGTTCCTTTCGGTTGCTATTGATTACTTCCCCAATTGGATTGAATCCGAGCCCCTAACTATCGTTACAGGGAGACAACTGATAAAATTCATGTGGAAAAGCATCCTCACAATATTTGGTACTCCAAGGGTCCTTATCAATGATATTTCACTCAATTAGAAGGAAGCCCCTTCAAAGAGTGGTGTGAAGAAAAACAGATCCATCGTTAGTTTACCTTAGTAGCACACCCCCAGGCCAACGACCAGACCAAGATATTGAACAAGATCATTGTTAATGGACTTAAAAAGCATCTAATGAGGTATAATGGGCCTGGGTAGAAGAATTGCCCATGGTGCTGAAACATCCCAAATACAAGCCAAAAAAAAATTGCTTAAAAAATCATTTGACGAATATAATCTCATCATCATAAAATAAAATCATCAAACATATATCTCGAATCTCATAAAATCTGTCAACAAATAATTGTGTCATAAAATATCAGAGTAAGCTCCCAGGCTAATCAACTGTGGTGTGTCCCATGCCATCAGCTCGAGCCCTTCTCTTTGCTAGCTGAAGTACCTGAAACCAAAACTGAAACTGTAAGCACGAAGCTTAATGAGCCCCCATAAACTACCATATACCATACAAATCACATATAACAACTACTGGGCCCCGCCCACTGCATCGGGTCCCGCCCGGCATCGGATCGAATTCCAGAATAACTTGGTCCCCACCCGCTGCATCGGGCCCCGCCTGACATTGGACTTAGTTCGAAATAACTTGGGCCCCACCCAGTGCATCGGGCCCCGGCCGACATCGTACCGAAGTCCGGAATACACTAAATCATAACATCAACTCAAGCATATAACATAACTCACATAAACCGTATCTGGCTTGCCTGGCATTGGACCAGAGTCAGGAACACATAATACATAACATACACATGTATGAATTAAAAATACACCGAGCATACTAAACAACATCCCCGGACCACCCCAGAATCGGACCGAAATCTGGAATAAACTAAACACATAAACTGCACATATAACTTGCATCGGACTATCCCCAGCATACTGTAACTAGATAAACGGGTTGGCCTTGGTGCTTTAGACCCGTTCCTACTGAAGGGAAACCCACCTTGTATGTCTGACCGCTGAAACTCTGGGTGAGAAATCTTTTCCTGCTGCCCTGGTGACTCTCCGGCTATAACTTCCATAAAGTCACTTAGTCAAAAACTGACAACTAACCTTAGGGTAAAATGACCATTTTACCCCTGGCTAAAGTCAACATCCTGGTCAAAGTCAACTTCCAGTTGACTTGACTCGTCGAGTTGGCCCGCCAACTCGCCGAGTCCCTAATCTTTCACCTGTCCCCAACCCAACTCTACTCGTCGAGTCTAGCAAGAACTCAACGAGCTCTCCTTCAATCATATTATCGAGACAATCTTCAACTGACTCGCTGAGTTCCTCCTTGAACTCATCTAGTTCATCTTCATCATATGAGCGTGTCTATTCTGTGACTCGCCGAGTTGTATGAACAACTCGTCGAGTCCATCTTCATGGGTTGGGAGATTGTCTTGGACTCGCCGAGTGCGTTCATACACTCGCCAAGTCCCATGCTTTCCAGGTCCAAAACTATGCCTATTTTGTTGAGTCCTTATTCTGGACTCATGTAAATCCCTTCTAAACTAAACTGGATTCCTTCGAATCATAAAAGGTTGTGAAACCAAACCCTCGGCTCACCGAGTCCCAAGAACGACTCACTGAGCCGACTAATGTCCATGTCCAAAACTCGATTTCTGTTGTGCAAAACTCATCCAAGAGGTAGATCTGGGATCCTACAGTTGATATAACACGTAAATTCATGAACTTTACGTGTATGCATGGGACATTTGTGTTCAAAGGGCCAAAAATGGGGTTTATTACATGCATGGGGTTCTCATGGCCATAAAGATGGCACATTTATGCCATGAGAACCCTTCAAGGTTCCAGATTTGAAGGTGTATCAACTTGTGAGGTCCAAGTCCCATGAGTCAAGCTTCTTGGCCGAAAACTCCATAAAATAACCATAAGGACATCTAAAAAACCACAAGTCAAGTGTGAAGCTTTATTACCAGAAAGTGAAGAGAATATGATGTTGTTCCTGGATCTGCAACCTTCTCTTGAAGCCTTCCTTCTTCCTCTTTTTCACACATGCTCTAAATTACACAAGATTACTCAAAATAGCACTAAATAGCTCAAAGATGCTCACAACTGCTTAGGGTTTCGAGGACGGGGATTGGGGATGATGGAGACTGGGGTTGAAGCCTCATAAGTTGTTTAAATAGGGTGCAAACCCTCCAATTTAGGGTTTCACTCAGATAGCTCCTACTCGCCGAGTCGCCCTTCCGACTTGTCAAGTAGGTCACTTAATTCCGCGACCCGGAGTCAATCCTACTCTACGAGTTGATCCCCCAACTCGCCGAGTCCAAGAATAAAATATGAAGTTTGACTTAAATTTAAATGCATACTTGAGACCGGGTGATACAGGTGCTCTAGTCGTATCGTACGACCCGGAGATCCAGCACTTGGGAAACACCATTCATCTTGACGTATGGCACAGAAGTAGTTCTTCCACTTGAGATCTTGTTAGGATCGTTGCACCTAACGGATTGCTCAGCGAAAAATGTGGAGCCTCTCAGCTCCACCAAGTAGCCTACAAAAGCACTGACCAAAAACTACTACAACAGACGAGTGCGATTGAAGAAATTCAAGGTAGGCGAATGGGTGTTGAGAAAGACTGATTCCACCCATGCACACCCCCAATGAAAACTAAGTATAACCTGGGAAGGCCCATACAAGATCTTAGAAACACATCAAAATGGAGCATAATTTCTAGAAGCACAAGATGGGAGGCCCATTCCACGAACCTGGAATGCACAAAGTTTATGCCACTTTTACTCCTAGAACAAGGAGAAAAGGCAGAAAAAGGAACACCGAGGGAAAGGGCAATACAATCTAACTCCAAGAAGATAATCACACCCCTCCAAGTAGCTCTAGTTTCTAGGCCCACTTTCGTGCCAATATTTAGTCAATATTATTCTCATTTGACAAAGTTGATATCTCAAAAGTATTATCAATAGAATGAAGAAAATTGACTATTTCAAAAAAAACAATTCATATGTTTATTAATATCCAATCATTGTACCACTTAATTAAGTGGTTGTACCTGTTTACCAAGTGACAACAAGGACTAATCATCCACGTCACTTGAGCGAAATTGATGTGAGAATGTAACCATATGCTTTAAAGGATCATAATATTTCCCAAAACATGACAATCTAATTCAAAGGATTTTTACCCTTTCCTATGACATGAGCAAAGGCTTTAAAGGCTCATAACCTTTTCCTTAATACAAAATTACTTAAGTCCTAAATGTCTCGAGATGACGATCTCGGCTCAACTTAGACGACCAAGGCCATTGTGAAAACCTCTTAGGCCAAAGACTTAGAAAAAAAGTCTCGAAAAAGTAATCGCAACCCTAATCAGAACCGAATATCTTAATAAAAATGGATTAGCCAACGTTCACGATAAAAGGCTAGCCAAATTTTTGACCCAAAAATATAGGTTTATGACTCTAAAGAGGGACGAGGCCTGAGCTTACTAAAGCGAGCTCCAGGTTAAAGCCAAAACACTACGACTAATAACAAATAACCCCCATCAACCAAAAGAGAGCATATTTTGGGTCCCAAATACTTTCAAACAGATGGAAAATACACTCAATAAATTACTAAGGCAAACACTCATCTTTTTTGGTACAAACACAAAAGAACTAAAAAGCATAACCACCCCAAAGGCCAACACTAACCTTTGGGAAGAATCCAAACCCATGATAGCCAACAAAAACCACCTGGGATGACAAGTAAAGAAACCTCAAACAAAAAGCAACTATAACATAAGAACCACACAACGAGAAAAGAGTTTATTGTTCGCTGGACATCCCTAGGACTTTGACAACGGCTACGCAGGGAAAAAACCAACCAAATGTTGTTCAAACTTGTTTATCAAAACATTAAATAGAAGAGAAAGGATCACTTACCAAGAGGATTGGTGGAAGGCACGCCTTTCGAGAAGCTACCTTTAGATTGGTTATCTTCAGCATCAAAATTGTTGCATAATTGGTGGAGGCCTTCCATATCGAGCTCACCAAGTTGAAGGTAGGAGGCAAAGTCTGTTTCCATGAAGGCTTTCAAAGAAGCATGCATCACCTAGGTTTTTTCAACAATAGATCTTGGCTCTCTGGGCATAAACTTCCCAGTGGAAACTTGCTCCTGAATGACTTGTGAGCTACCCTCCACACCGGTGGCCATGTGCACCGCCTTCATCCGCCTCACCACCCAACGAGAAATCAGTGTTTTCCACTAATTGGTCCACTACATAGATGACACTATTCTTAAGAAGCCATGCCACATCCTACTTTAAAACTTTCCTATTCGACTCTTCCACATCTAATTGCTCGCCCTACAACTTTTCCCCCTCTCTAATTCCTCTTTCTCTGGCTCCAAGCCATCCATCTGTTGTGAAAGGCGCTCCACATCTACATCGAATGCCACCACATGCTCGTCAATAGATGCTTTCTCCCCGGCCAAAAAGTCGTAGCCCTCCTCAATTTTCTGCGTCTTGGCCTCAAGGCCTACCAATCTCTCCTTCATTTTTGCATGTTCAGCCTTGGCGGTATCAAGCTCCTCCAAATGAGAGCTAACATGGCGTATGCTCCCAACGGCAGCCACCAAGTAAAGGGCAACCTGGGCCGCCCCATATTGTAGATTGTTGGCCATATGAGAGTTGGAAAAGAGCTCCAAAGCTTCAATGGTGGCCAGAGGGAACGCATGACGGCTCTACTCGTATGCAACCAAATGTTTCATGAGTAAAGACTCACGGGTGAGAGTCCACTCCGGGAGAAAGATGTTGGGAAGCACTAAAGCTGAAAGGGAGGAGCATGTAACATCATTGTCCTTCGTCAAAGATAGGAGCGGTTTGGAAGCCAACCTCCAGCTTCCTCACGAACTCGCCATCGCCAAGGTCTCTACCGTCCTTTGGTTCTTCTTTGGGTTCAAAAGGTGGTTTTGTTGCTTCAATTTCCATCCCGTCCAACAAGTTCGAAGCGTCCTCATCGGGGATAGTAATTAAAATGCCGGTCTCCCCCAACAGGAAGTCAACATTCCGTGTCTTGAGAAGATGCTTGCTAATGGTGCGGGTACCAACATCTTTGGTACATGGGGAGTCCACCCAAGTTATCTGTCGCTTGGTCATTGCCCGAACGCCACCAACTGTCGCCTCTTTCACTAACTCACCTCTAGAATCCTAAGGCGTAGGGTCATCACAAGAAATACACTCAATAACTGCATCCACCAAAGGTGGATCAACCTAAGGAACATACCCTTCATTCCTGACAGTAAGGGGTGCGCCAAGCGCCTGGTACCTCATGGTACTGAAGATCGCCCTTATATTTGCCCCGCAGAACCGCTTCAAAGGGCAAGATCCTCTCATGACCTGCAAAAACAAGTAATATACGAAATAAGTAGATCAATTCCCCCATATATATATATATATATATATGTATATATATATATATGTGTGTGTGTGTGTGTGTTTGTGTGTGTGTATACATATCTTTTCGCGCGTTGGGGGGTATGGGGGGAGGGGAGAAGAGCACTTAACGTCTTTCTCCACGAAGTACTGATGCATCATCCCCCGATCCCTACAGGTGGAACTCGTCCCTACAACGGATAGGATATGATCCTCCTAGTCTTCCCTGGTGAAGCAGATCCCCATCAACACCTTCACCACAGTTAGGATGGCACTCCATAGCTGAGGCAATCGGTCAGAAAACACAACCACCCAAGGATATCCATAACCAACCAGGTTGTTGTTCACCCAAAGACATTTATCTTGCCATTTCTTTTTGGGCACTTTCTAGTAACAATGAACATGTGGACACCACGCCTCTAAGAGATGGTATGAACACCAGATTGGGTGGAAGAGTTAAAGTAGGCTTTGAAAGCCAAGAACTGAGGCACCACTCCAAGGGCTCAATAGTCCAGTTAAAAGCCCACAATCTTATTGACGGTGTTGGGAGTCGATGTTGCACGGAGAAATCGTATTTATGCATGAGCTCGTCAAAAAAATATGTCGTGGGCTGTAACGCCCATATATTCGGGCTAGTCAATTTAGAGATAATAAGCGTCAAAAATGGCTTTTTGATATAAGATTATTTAGGATAAATAATCTTAACCAAAGTTGTAGTATATGTCACAAGGATTCCGTACATATAAAGAACGTTGAAATCCTACTTATAACGAAGAAGTTCTGACCCATCGAAGTTTTGCGATTAAACGGGCATGACTCTACGTAATGTAAAAAGTGAGTTTTTGATAAATTACTTTTTAGCCTTACTAATTTAAACGAAATTCATAGTATTCATTAAACCAAGATCGTGCATATATTGAACGTCCAAATCTGACTTCACAAGAGGAAGTTATGATTTTTCGAAATTTCAGTGTAGCAGTATAACGCTCAGAAATCTAATTTTAGATCCATCAATTTTAGCCAAAGCGATATAAATGAGAATTGAAGATCTCATTAATAGGAGTTCAAAGATAAAAGACATTTGAAAACGGAGTCCGTACGTAGAAGTTATGAATTTTACACGGCCGTTAATAGTGTAATCTTCTCATACTAATAAGTTTAAAATCAGTCGAGAATTAGCCAATGGGGTCAAAAGGAAAGTATTAGATCTTGTCAATACCTATGTGTGGATATAAAGAACGTAAAAAACGAAGCTTGTATGTGAAAGTTATGAATTTTTTAAAATTGCTTGTTTTACATTCGTCTTGTGCCACGTGTCAGCACCAGGCGAAGCCGTGGTGCCTACGCAAGCTCACGACGTGAGGAGCCGAATTTCACTCATTTCTTCACACCTTTCAACTCCATTCTCTCCCAAACCCCCCAAGGTCCTAAGACATTTTCCTTAGCACTTCCTAGGTGTTAGTAGCAAAGCTCTGGAGCATCAGAAAGCCCCGAGAAGAAGAGCTTTCGGCTTAGAAGTTCTGTCCACATAGAGTCCGGTTTCTCACTAAAACACTTGTAGGTTAAGTTATGCTTACCATACTTTAAGTATAACTTATGTTTAAGTTCATTATTGTTATTATGAACCAATAAACAAGATTTATCAGTGATTCCAAGTCGTTACATAGATTGATCTACTTATAGGGATGATGTCTAGGCTAGATTTAGTGAGCTGTTTAAAGTGGGATTTCCAAATAGTATATTTTGTATACTAAACGGACCCTACCTCTGATATGATCCTACCTAGTTGTTCCTTACTTGATAGATCTTGAAGTAGACTTTAAATTAAGGATGAATCTAGACTAATAATTAGTCGCAATAAATATCAGAGTAAGACTTAGTGATAATGATACTAGATTACGTCGAAGGCAAAGATAGTTGCTAGGAGTGAAGTGTTATCCGAGTTTCAAGTCATCACTTTAAAAAGTGAGTGCAAAGTCTCCTTCATGAATAAGATTTTAATACAAGTATTAATTAAAATACTAAATATATGTTTATATGTGAGATATTTGATATTGCCTAAAATACGTGTTAAGAGAATATCTTATAATATATGATGATTTAGGACTTACAGAATAAACCTAAATTAATTAAGATGGATATTGAGTAGTATCTCCTTATGAGTATGGGTGAGATATCCACAGAGGGTAGAACTTTAAAATTTGTCATTCATCTAAGAGCATGGATTATACATAGTCATTCGTCCTTTGTCCGAGAGTATGGAGAGAGCATAGTCATTTTTCATTAATCTGAGAGCATGGATTAGACATAGTCATTCGCCCCTAGTCTGAGAGTATGGAGTGGGAATAATCATTTGTCATTGATCCGAGAGCATAGATTAGACATAATCGTTCATACCTGGTCTGGGAGTATGGATTAGGTAAAGACGTTTATTTTAGATTCGAGAGTATGGATCGTGTCATTGTGAGGATTGACGGGGTGGGGTAAATTGCTTATATGAGGTGAAATTGTATCTTGTGAGTTCTAATATATATATATATATATATTGTGGGATTGAAATCCCTATGTGCTCACCAGGTTTTCCAACCTATCCCACTCAGTTTATTATATCATAGGTAGTGATATTAAAGATACATTTTTCCGAGAGATTGAATGAGTATTAGGCCACTAGTTTAATTATTGTAAGGCTTGTAATATTTCATTATGCTTACGTTTCTGTATTGGCGATGACATCCTAATGTTTGACTATAAATAAAATACATTTCTTCGGAAATGTTATGATAATATCATTATCATGTTTTCTGGGAACAAATTCTGCAATATAATTCTTCAAAAAGGATACTCTGATTTTTAAATAAGCATAAACAAATCGGTCTTTTCTGGCCGTGAAATTGGGGATGTCACATGGGCAGCCTCAGACATGCCTCAAAGATTGGAATGGGGACTTCGACCTTACTTTTCGGTGGACAAGAGTTGACCCCCCCCCCCCCCTTTCCTAGGATATTGCACTCCATGTTTAGGTGAGAAGCCGAATCGGGCTTTCAAGGCCTCAAACTCGCTTGGAGTCGACTTGATCCAGTTAGTTGTGTCGCCGTTGTTCTCTAAGAGCAAGAGCAGAAAGGAAGAAAGGGTAAATGAACAAAAAAAGCAGTTGAGGAGTGGGAAGTGTAAAGAGTAAAACCGTCCCTGATAAGGGAAGTTTTAAATGCAAAGAGGGAGAACCAAATAGTTACCATGATGAAACCGTGTGTGCAAACGGCTCCATCACATCAGCGGATGGCATGGCCATCTTTGCAGAACATGTGTCTTGATCTAAGCTAGAACAACTCAGGTACGCCAAGCCAACGCTGACGTCTATGGGCCTGGGGGACTTGTTAACGTATCCTACTAGTAATACGTTAAAGATAACATAACTACTATCTTTAGGATGACCTAGCTAATAGTCTCAAATCTGTCCTAGCGCAAGACCCGGGCCCTCGCCCTCGTGCTAGGACCCTCATACTTGGTGTTATCGCGTCCATGTCCAATTCCTGACAACAATCTCCAGTTTATAATGAGATAAGACACAGCTTGTCGTTTCCCAGAGCGACAAGTGCAATGCCCAGGGTGTTGTCCTCTATTTATTCTGCACCAATAGCAGACGACCACTAGTAGTGCACGATCCACCAATAGGGCTCTTCCTCGTCCTGTCGGCCAAGACATGACAAAGGACACCATTGGGATCATGTGCAAGGAACCACATGTATAAAAGGATCCATCTTCTTTAGAAGAAGGGATCGTTTTCTCTCCATCCTAAAACCCTAATCACATTATTCTCAAACATAAACTTATTATACCGTCAGAGCTTCGTCCCGGGGCCACCTCCCAGACGTCGACTGACGCGATCTCTTCAATACTGTGATTACAGGACTCAACTCAACTGGAACCATCAAGTGACGATGTCAAGTCCAAAGCACATATCACAACAGTCACTATTGTGTGGCTCGAGTGTATGCCATATTTTATGTATTTACATAATATTCCGACATGTTTTTTTTTTCAATGTTGTATTTGTTCTTTAAAGGAAGCACCACATTTCTTGCATCATGTTTTTCTCATGCCACTTGAATATGAACTGAAAATTCACTAGTCATAATAACCAAATTTTCCAGGTTTCATTTCAAGGAAACGCCTTCAAAATGATATTGGTTATCGTCTTCTCGATGTCGTGGATGCTCCCCTAACAAAAGATTGTTGCAACACACAAAATTTGGATATCATTTTTTTTTAAATATATAAAAAAAAAGGTGTTGAATGCTCGACAACATGAATTATGAAATATTACAAAGAATATCTGACAATTAGAGACGAAAAATGGATGTATCATAAGATTTGAGAATTAAATTAAGCTATATAAAATTTCAAGATTTAGAAATAGTGATTTTGTGATATTAGAAAGCGTTTTGAATGGTTTGACAAAATCAACATGTATATATACCAAGTTTTGGAGGGCAAAAATATCATTTTAGGCACAAAAAATGGTCATAGGACGTGTTCGACAACATTAACTAGTAGCGTGTAGCATGTAGTAGGTATCGAGTAGCGGGTAACAGGTAGCAGATAGTGTTTTGTTAAACGCTACGACCGTGTTTGGAACGGAGAGCTTCTAGCTTTTAGCTTTAAAGAAAACGCTCCAGTTTAAACAAAAAGTTTCGTTTGGCAGTATGAGTGTTTCGTTTTTAGTTTAAACAAAATGTTCCAAATCTGAAAGCTATTTCATGTATCATTTAACAAAACGCTACTAAGCTTTTGAAATCGGTTTTCTGAATCGCCCTTGAAATTATATTTATATATTTATTTTTTTAAACAATTGTCTTTGTTTGTAATTTTATATATTTGAAAAGCTTGTAGCTATTTTTGCCAAACATTCATATAACAAATAAAACTATAGCTTTCAACTATCAGCTACCCGCTACCCGCTATCTGTTACTTTTGTCAAACACACCCCACGTGGGATGACTTTTAGATTTAGATCATTTTGATTAAACTAAATGCTAAAAGACTATAGTACCAAACAAGATTTTTTTGTCTAAAACGAAGCATTTTATCAAACACTATAAGTTAATCTACAAGCTCCGTATCAAACACGTCCTATACACCCATTATTTAAAGAATTATTATATTAAAGAAGAACCCAAAAAAATCAAGTTTCTGATGACTACTTTAGAAACAATTTTTTGTCCGATTTTTCAAACCAATTTCCAAGAATCAGTCATAATCCGATTTCAACATCTGTATTCCAATCGGCAAGTGTCCAGTTGGATTGTGTCAAACCCAACCGGTTTTACAAAACATTTCATAAGAACGAAACTGATTCGGTTCTGGATCCAAAATGAAAAACCAGTTTTTTGCCTACCTCCATCTCAATATATGATTTTACATTAGACAATGATACCCTGAATCATCATCATCATCCAACTGTCTATGTGACATTCAACAGGACCCATTAATCCATTATCGTATATTCATTTATTTTCCAGTACAACAAACTAAGAAGACCCACACAAAATGGGCCAAAAATACCTACAAGGACATCTACAATAACTTGTTTGTGACATCAGAAAGAAATGCACACACATGATACACGGACAACTAGCATCAGCCTGTACCTTCCCACTCCCACCACCCATATTCAATGATTGTCAAATAACATAGCCCACCGCTAATAACAAATCTTTCTATATATATATATATATATAAAAGACCCCCTCTCTTTTGCACAAAAAAACAATCTCAACAAGAATCAATAATAACAACAATAATAATAAGGAAACAAGTCCAAGATTCCGCTGAAAATGAGAAAAAAATCAAAACCTTAAAAGATATCATGAACGAAAATTGTAATAATTTTTAAAGACGTACATCCTAATAAGATAATCCATCCCAACAAAGGGTCCCAACAGACAGACGTGATTGAGTTAATAAGGAACAGATTCTCAGAAAAACATCTCATGATTGTACAAGATGTACAAGACATCAACACCTTCTTTAAACGTGTAATAATGAATGTACAAAACGAATTCAAACCCACTAGCCAAAACTCACATAAAATAAATTAAAAGTACAACACCAATTTCATGAACCCAATAATGCAACCAAAAAAAATAACTATTTTCAAACCTTTCTCAATCTTTTTTTTTTCTCTTCGCTTTTTTTCAAATATATATATAATTATGTGTTTATAAACGTGTATAATACAATCTTGAAGGTGTTCCAATCTTGATCACCCATACCTTAACTCGTACCAGCAACAACAGTATCAGTACCAGTATCAGTACCAACAACACCAGAGGAATCAAGAAGGTGTTCCAACGATCTGGTTTTTTTAGTTCGAACCTTGCCCGCCTCTTTTAGCAATTCGGCCAGCCTCCTCTTCTCATCATCAACATCCGGATGAGCAGTCCCAAGCTTTTCCTCTCTCATAACAACGATCCTTTCCAAGATCGCAATTGCATCATCCAATCTAATAATTCAAGAACACATCAAAAAATCAAAAAGGGTTTTTTTTTCTAAAACAATTTCCATGCTTTTAAATCTTATCATATACCTTCCAACCGCATCATAAGTTCCAGCAAGATTGCTATAAACCGCAAGAGTATCAGGGTGATAAGATCCACACTCATGTTCCAATACATTTCTTGCTTCTTCAAAAAGATCCAAAGCTTCATTTATAGCATAAAGTTGGACACAAGTGAGCCCCATTTGGTTAAGTGCAATACCAAAAAAAGCCGATTTTTTCTCCCCACTAACACGCAGCTTTGAAATCGCGTGTTCAAAAGACGTATAAGACTCATCATATTTCCCCAACACATAATACATCACCCCCATTTGTGCTTCGATCCCTGCAACCGTGTTTTGCTGACCTGGCACACCGTTGTATATCTTCAAAGCTTTTTGTAACAGTTTAAGCGCGTGATCGATCTCATTCATGGATTCATATATGGCAGAAACATCGGTAAATCCACACGCGATTTCCTCTTGCGGGATTCCCGGGATCGGTTTTTCGTATATCGAAAGCGCGTTTTCACAATACGATTTTGATTCTTTTAATTTCCCGGTTTTGTTATATAAATCAGCTAAACGAACATAAACGGAAGCAACACTCGGATGATTCTCCCCTTTTGATGATTTTAAAGCTGTGAGTGCTTTCTGATACGCGTGAATTGCTTCATCGAATCTTGATAGAGATAAATACGCGTCTCCTATGCTTATATCAATAGAAGAAACTTCATTTTCATGGCCATTTGCCACCATTGCCATGCTGGCTAAAACAAGATGCTCAAGGGCACCTTCATGGTCTCCTTTTGTTTCCATTATAAGTCCCATGAGCTTTCGATCAGCTGCTTCTTCTAAAGATGCAGGCAAACCGTTATTTTTGTGGATTTCAAGGGCCATTTGACATAGCTTTTCAGCTTCATCGAGTTGTAAAGCTTGAACATGAGCTTCAGCAAGATACCTGAAAGTTTCACCGACCCGTGGGTCGGTTTCACCTAAAGTGGATTTTTGGACTTCAAGACCCGATTTGTAACAGTGTAATGAGTTTTCGAGTTGACCTAACATTGCATATGTGTCGCCTAATTGCATGTATCCTGCGAATTTAGCAAGTGCGTGATCTTGACCTAATTCGATTGCTGGAATGTTGATGGAGTTGTTGAGGATGGGAATGGCGTCGTTGTATTGGGATAAGTTACAGTAAATGGCGGCTGTGACATGCAAACACATAACAACGTCTAAACTGGGTTTACCGTTTGAAGATTTTTCAAATGATTTTGCTGCTCGAAGAGATAAATCGAGTGCTTTACGAGGGTTTTCACCCGAAGACATTAAATCGCGAGCTTGTTTAAGCATATATGGACCAAGATCTGAGTTTTTATCAGTAACGACTGATTTTTTAGGGTTTTTATCGGTTTGTTTCTCGAATAGAGGTTTCTTTTGATGGGATTTGGTCTTGGAACTTGTTCCGGAATTAGCTTCCGACTCCATTTGTGATTTCGAGCTTTCTTCCTTCTGTTGTTCTACATTGGAAATCTCTTCATCTTGTTCGATGATTTCCACTTCTTTCCTCTCGCCTCCAACTAAGTGTCTTAACTCTGAATCGATTCTGGATTCTTCACCATCTGATCCGTAGCTGAGACGCGATAGTGAATGATCAGAACTCTGCATCTCACATACATTATCGTAAAGCTGTTCGATAGAAGGCTCAACCACTTCAGTCGCACTATTCCCAGTTCCCACATCAGGAGACTTGCTTAAATCCAAATTATCCTTCGTTTTCGACAAACTCCCATCGTCAGGCATTTCGTCGATCACCTTATCTTCATGAATTTCATCCAAAACTAACCCAGGCATCTTTCACTATGCCACCACAATCAGTGCTGATTCAAATTAAATCCTAATAGTAAAAGATAAAAGTAAACATCCACAGTTGTTTTGGACAAAGATTTGACAATCAAATACTAAAAAGTAATTGGCCCTTTGACTAATCATGAACGGTGGAAAAAGATGCAATTAACCCGAAAGGGGAATAAACTTAAAACGAACAGTAAAATGATAAATTTTGATTCCCCAAAAGTTGTGGATAACAGATCACAAAGAGAAGCACCCAATGTTTTTAAAATCGAAGTACGCATAAAAACTTCTAAAGGGGAAACAATAGACCGAGTAAAGTTTAATCTTTACAAAAGTAAATTACAGCTCATTGAAAAGAAAAGAAGCTTCAAGTTCATATTTAGACACACTGTTATATAGGATATAACCACATAATACAGATCTTATGGAATAATATACACTAAAACCAATCAAGAAACGAAAAAACCCAGATGAAACAAAGTCAAATATCTCATTTAGATTGCAACTTTATACACAGTTGACCTGTTTTAACCAATTATATGCAAGAAAAATCATCTACAAACGTTCAAATTGGGGAAAAGATCATACCTTAGCGAGAAGCCATAAACAAACTTTGTAGAAATTTAAGCTTTTGGGTTCAGATATAGATATGTTGTATATCTGATATATACAGATTGAGTTGATGGGACAACGGAGAAGAAGATAGAGGGGACAGAGTGGGGATTATGAGCCAGGGGTCAAGGACAAAATGGGAATGTTAAAATTTTCTTATCGGGGTGAAGAAAAATCGACGAATTCTTGAGGTTATTCTTCAAATCCAGAAGGCTTTCTGGCACCTGCAGAGTTGTTCTCTGGTTGTTTGTTTGTTTGCACTTGCTAGTTGCTAGATATAGACGCACGCGACAAGGAAAATTACGGATTTGCCCCTGTGGTAGTGGACTCATGTTGTTTCGTGGTTGGGTAAAATGTTAAAAAAAAATTAGACACCGAGTCACATTCATTTGTAAGATTACTTTGGAATGGTGCAAGCACTTGGTGGATATGCTTCTCCAAAACCAGAAATGGAATCCTAAGCAATCTATGAAATTAAAAAAATTTAAACAGGTAAATACCATTTGATCATTTTAATTTTTGTGTTATAAATCATAACTTCAAAATTAATGAGTAAACGTTTATTATAATCAAATTATAAAATAAGAAACTAGTTACTAGCTATCGTTTTTATTAATTGTTAAAAACTTATAATACTTTTGTTATGAAAATTTATCAAAAAAAAAATTGTTTATACGTTTATATATATATATATATATATATATATATATATATATATATATATATATATATATATATATATAAACAATTTTATTTTGATAAATTTTCATAACAAAAGTATTATAAGTTTTTAGCAATTAATAAAAACGATAGCTAGTAACTGGTTTCTTATTTGATAATTTAATTATAATAACTGTTTACTCATTAATTTTGAAGTTATGATTTATAACACAAAAATTAAAATGATCAAATGGTATTTACCTATTTAAACTTTTTTAAATTCATAGATTGCTTAGGATTCCATTTCTGTTTTGGAGAAAATATATATATATATATATATATATATATATATATATATATATATATATATATATATATATATATATATATATATATATATATATATATATAGTGTTGTCAACTATTTGAGATTTTGTGGTCAAAATTTCAGCCATCAAATAGAAAAGATACACCTTTAAAATAACATTTTCATAACATTGAATCTTTTTTTTTATCGCTGATTTGGTTCATTAAATCATATTCTCTGACCAACACGAACCGTTCCGACCACTACCGACCACCTCTTATCGCCACCATCCACCTCCAGCATCCGTCTTCTATTATCTGGCAAAGAACAATTAAGTTATGTTTTTTCGATGATTGATTTGTTCATGTTGGTATAAACTGAAAGTTGCACCAAATAGTGATGAAATCTCAACTAATTCTCATATCGACCCCAATGAAGTTTTCGAAGGGTCTTGAACATTGCATACGTGATATCTAGCAAGCACATGAGCAATAAATAGAACAAATGATGGTTGTTTCTTTATTTTGACTCAACATATTATGAGTAAGTGTGTATGTAAAACTTCATTGTGACCAATTTAGGTTCTCTAACAACAGTTTTTGTTTCTCGAGGTTAAATTTCTACATGTATACACATCTGGTTTTGTTGGCCAGAGGAGATAACTGGAAAATTGATGGTGACAAAAAAAAAAATGACTAAATATATATAAAAATAATTTAATGTTAAATCGAATACAAAACGGTGACTTTCATGGTGCTTTTTAAACAACAAATGCATGGCTAATGGTGTTATTTAAACAGATAAGTTGTCTAGACCTGCAACAAACTGGTAAAATGATATTTTGTTTAACAACATAAGTTTGTGGTAATTATATAAGAAATAACTATATATATACAAAAATAGTAACTTATTATAATAAAACGTTATTTTCCATATATATATATATATATATATATATATATATATATATATATATATGATGAAAAAATTGCTCTAAAAGTTGAGAAAAAATTGGTTTCGTGGTAATTATATAAGAAATAACTATATATATACAAAAATAGTAACTTATTATAAATCGTTATTTTCCATATATATATATATATATATATATATATATATATATATATATATATATATATATATATATATATATATATATATATATAAACTAAAAATATAGAAATTCACAACTTTTTATCCTTCATTCGTTGATATCAATTTTGATAAAAAAAAAATAAATAAATATGTTCAGGTTCACATTATGAATTTGTTTAAATTCATATTGTGAATCTGTGCAGATTCACCTTGTGAATTTTGTGCTGTGAAATTTATGCTGATTCACATTATGAATCTATGCGGATTGACATTGTAAATTTGTGCAGATTCGTACAATGAATTTGTAACATCCCAAAAATACAAGCCAAAAATTTTATTTTTAAATACGTCATTATAAAACTAACAGTATAATAAAACATTCGTAATATCATGTCATGTCAAAACCAAAGTAGAAATAATCAAACGTGTTATCATAAAATAATATCAGAGTGTAATCCCAAAGATCTCATGTGCGGAAAACCATAGTGTGATGCGCTGCAATTGAGCCGGCTCCTTTCCTTTGAAAACGAAGTACCTGAAACCAAAACTCAAAACCCTAAGCACAAAGCTTAGTGAGTTCCCCCATCATACCATATACCATACAATCATATCACATACATAGTGCCAGGCATTTCTGGGGTGCCCGAACTTACCCGGTACGGCCATTCTGGGGTGTCGGCCTACCCATGCGGTCATTCTGGGGTGTCGTCCTTCCCGTGTCAAGCTATTCTGGGGCGCTGACCTACCCATGTCGAGCCATTCTGGGGTGCTGACTACCCTTTGGTCCTAACAACCGAACCTCGGGGACTATTTCACCCCCTACTACTACTATCACATATAACATAACATAAACATATTATCAGACATATTTGGGGTGCCTGAGCTACCCTTCGGTCCTAACAACCGAACTCGGGGACTGGTCCCCTCCTACTACCTCTATCGCATATAGCATAACAAGCCAGCATGCAAACATATCATCACATATTGTCAAATGTACCTGGGGTGTCTGACTACCCTTCGGTCCTAACAACTGAACTCTACTACTATCACATACAACATATCATGCTAGCATATAACATATCAGGTAGCAACAAACCTAGATGATATCACAAAGACAATCATCTATCATACGTCTCCTACTGGTGGGCCGGCATTGTGGCCTTAGACCCACCGCTACTGGAAGGTAACTCACCTCACACTGCTGAAGTCCCGTAGACACAATCCCACACTGTTGAAGTCCCGCAGACTCAACCCCAGCTGCTGGATGACAGATTTTCGATCTGTTAATATCAAAACATCACCCAATTAATAATTGGGTCCCACTACATAACCATAAACACTTACTTTGGATAATTACATTACCCCAAGCTTAGCTTATTCAAGCGCAAGGCCCAATCCGTAGGCCCAAAATCAACTAGGAATCAAAGCCCAACACATGGCCCAATTTTCCAAATTGGGCCTAGGCCTATACATGGTCTCATTCTAAGGCCCAACATCATATACTCATTAAGGCCCAAACTAAGGCCCATCTATGGCCCAATTTTCTAGATTGGGCCCAAGCCCCTTACATGGGCCTTACCCTAGGCCCATTAAATTACTCTAGACCATTTGCTTGATCTTGGATAGTCCATTTAATAACCCTTATCATCAAGGCCTAATAGAAAGGCCTAACAATAAACCCAAGTGAAATTAGGGTTTCACATAAAATGATGATTAGGGTTAAGTTTCATACTTAACCCATTAAGGACTTAATCCATTAAGTCCATTATCACTTAGATTAATCTTTGCCAACGCTTATTATTTAATATCTCAAGTTATTAAATAATTCTTGTGTGTGACCTGAATAATTCTTAAAGTTAGGGTTTTAATGGCATTAGGGTTTTCCAATCCAAATATTAGCCCATTTATCAATTTGTTGGCCTTTTATGTCAATTAGGGCTTTATCGGGCCTATCAAGCCCACTAAAATATTATTAAGCCCATTAGGGTTTTATTGGGTCCATTAGAGTCCCTTAAGCTTCGTTAGGCCCAATAGGGTTTCAAGGCCCATTAGGGTTTTAGTCCCTTGTCCAATCATCCAAACGAGTCCAAACACCATCAAAGCACACCGCCACTCGACACAGCGGCCGGTGGCGGCAGCCACCACCCTAAGGTGGTGGTTTTCAAGTTATTTTATTATTACAAGCTATAACATACAATTTACAATGTTGAAGCTCAAAATAATACCTACACTAAACAAAATAAACACACACAACCACCTTATGGTGGCCTGTGGTGGCAGAAGGTGGCAGCCACCATGGCTGGCGGCCATGGTGGGCATTCTTTTCCATTCCCGGCCAAGATAAACCTCACACAACACACGCACGCCCGGGAGCACACCAACATTGGGAATACAACCACCTACACGAGCTCTAAATGCAAAAAGAACCCAACCACCCTCTTGGTTGCGATGGCGACACGAGGAGGCGGCAGAAACGGACGACGTAGCGGTGTTAATAACGACAGCCACCATGGCTAGCCAACATGGTGGTTCTTCTCAGTTGCCGACCAACAACCTAGCACGCAGCAAATCTGTAGACGGTCTCCCGCCAGGTGGCGCATGACGAGCGACATCAGCAACAACCTTGGCCATTCATGGTGTCACCGGCAACAGGGTTGTGGTGGTCGACTCCAGCTTCATTAACGACTACGCAAGCATCAGCGACTACAGCAGCGGCTCGACAGCGTAGCGGCGACTGGGTGACTTCCACCTTCGATGGCGGCAGAAGAAGGAGAATAGGAGAATGGAGGACGTCCGACAGCAAGGCCACGATGGCTTCTTCGATGGAGAGGCAGCAGGCGGCACCATTCGATACTCCATCTGATCGTCGGCGGCGACTAAGGAGCATCGGAAGGAGGTGGTGCCGGAGATGGGAGATATAAGGGTGAGGGGAGGTGACGGCTGTAATATGATTTAGGGTTAGGGTTAAATCCATGGGTGACGGGTTTATATACCCGATCCCCCAAACTTGTGTCCATAATGGTAATTTCAGCCCCTCAACCTCATTTCCTTTTAAATTAAATTCAACCAATTACTACGGAGTCCCTGACTTTATAAATAATTATAAAATGAGTCCCAAACTCACGCTCTTAACCCCCGACTTCTAAAAATGTGACAACTAACTCCTCAAACCCAACACTCTGCGTATATAATTATTTATTTCAGGCTACTATTCGATCATTAATTTATTTATTTAACTAATAAATAAACGAGGTTTTACAGAATTTATATAAAATTAATGATTTATAGTGTAGATTAACAATGTGAATCTGAACATATAAAAAAGTATATAAATATATCAAATTTGATTTCAATGGAAAGAAGATAAAAAGTTATGAATTTCTATATTTTTAGAAATTTTGTTCGATGCATACTAAGATCTAAAATTTAAAAAACTAATGGTTCCTTGATTATATCGTTTAAAATGGTTTATTGTTGAATTTTTGCCTCTCTCTCTCTCTCTCTCTCTCTCTCTATATATATATATATATATATATATATATATATATATATATAGAGAGAGAGAGAGAGAGAGAGAGACATGCATAACACAATGACGATAAATAACTTATTCGATAAACAGTTTTCTTACAGAAAAATGAATATTAGATTTTATTATTATTTATTATGTAATAAAAAAATTTATCATTTTTAAATAAAATATTATATTTAGAACTTATATTTATATGACATGTTTATATATTTTATGTAAATTAATTGTTGTTGGTGTCTAATTTAAGAAATAAATGTAAATTAATTTATATAGATTAATTTAATATTTTAAAATTGTCATTTGCTCCAATTAAATTTTGTAATAAGCTTCATTAATTCAAATCTTTAAATTTTTTACAAGTATTAATAATTTACTTATCCATAATTGATTTGTACAAAAAAAACTTTGTATCTTATACCTCTTAAAATTCAAGACACCATTAATATGTTTTATTATATAATATAAGATATTAGACAAATTACGTAATTGGTCATTGTAGTTTACCAAAACGGACGCATTCAGGACAATTATTAAACCATCTACCAGTTTGGTCTTTATGGTTTGTTTTTCTTGTTTGTCTTGTCTTTTTGCTATGAGAAATACTTTTCACCCTTTTATTTTTTTTATATTTTTCTTTTATATATTTTCTTTAAATAATAATTATAATCCTAACCCAAATTTTAACTAACACTAATTTTACAAGACATTAAACCACCCACTAAACACTTCATCCAGTTTAATTATCCTACCCTAAAACATCTCCCACCCTTCATTGAAGTTGCCAACCATTTCCAACCTCAACCGTCATTGCAACCTCCTCAACCTTCGTCTTCTTCAACACCCGCAACAAAAACACAAACTTTTTTCAATATTTTTTTAGCTTTACAATACATAATACTCTCTAAACCCTCTTGAATCTGAAAACGTCAAACAAAATTGTATTCTGAAATCCCTGATCTCCATCATGACCGATTCATAAGCTCACAGGCGGATCCACATTAGATCCCGGGGTATCCCGGGATGCCCCTCAAAAAAAATTTAGTGGTATAAATTTTTCCGAAAAATTTCGTTTATTTTGCGTTCCTTAAAATAAATGTGTTTTGCAAAAAACTAACAAAAGCTCTAGTTGGTTTAGTTCGTTATGATGACATGGAGTTTTTCTAGAGGTTGGAAGTTCAAATCTTGGGCTTGAGATGTGTTATTTTTTTTGTTTATCAGTTTCTATCATATCTCCCTTCAACTTTATTCTTTATTCTTATTTCTTGTAATTCTAAAATTGTCCCATATCGGCCATAAAATGAAACATAGTCCCTATACATCTGTTATATAAGCAACACAAACTTCTCAATTCTCAATAAGTTAAACCTTTGAATGAGTTTGGGTTTAAACCCGAAACCGAGTTTGGAAAACTGAAAAACCAAGAAACCGAACCCATTGGTTCGGGATACCCCTTTATGTTGACCCTACTGCATAAGCTAATAATGAATCTCATACCTTTACGCAACTAAAAAACATACACTTTTCAGATTTTTTTTTTTCGTTAAATAGTGTTCCCTTGGTGTAGCTAGAGATTGCACAGGGTATACCAACCAGAGGGGGAAAGATGGATACTTTGGTCACTCATAGGTTTTAAAGGTGTAAGGAATTTGGCCTCTATAAATGCATGAAGTTATACATATATGGTCATGTGCAAAATCGATAAGCAAATCAGATCAGATCTTCATCATTACCGTAGACCCCAAAACCTAAATTCACGAAAGATAGTTAAAGCCTTAAAAAGCTAAAGCATTAATTTTTGGCATCGTCTTCTTTAACCTCATGCATATTCATTCCTTAAATTCTTTATTTGTCGAATCCAATGTCTAATTAAATACAATATTTCTTATGAAATTATAAAATTAAATACAATATTTCTTATGGAGTTATACAATCTAATCTGGAAAATTTAAAAGAACACGGAAAATATTAAATTTGGTTAGATTGTTCGATTGATGTGAAATTTCAATATGAATTATTCCAAATTATTGATATGTACATGAAGAAGTGATTTGTTGGAACGATCTATAAGAATTTAGAAAACAAGAAAAAGACTTGAGGAATTTCCATGTGCGAGAGAAAGAGAGAGTTTTCTTTATATATATATATATATATATATATATATATATATATATATATATATATATATATATATATATATATATATATATATATATATATATATATATATATATATATATATATATATATATATATATATATATATATATGGTTAGGTTCATGTGAGAAGCCATAATTTTGTGACACCGTGAGATGTATTTTTTTATTTTTTTTTACTTTTTTTTTAGTTAATTCAAGTTCCGAAAATATTATTTAAAAAAAAAACTTTTGGATTTTTCCATTTATTTTGCATTTTAAAATTATTTTTTAGAATATATACAGTGTAATATTCTATTAGAATATTTCACGTATTTAAAAAAAAAACAGGATTTTTTTAGTTAATTCAAGTTCCGAAAATAATATTTAAAAAAAGAATTTTTAGATTTTTCCATTTATTTTGCATTTTAAAATTATTTTTTAGAATATGTACAGTGTAATATTCTATTAGAATATTTCACGTATTTAAAAAAAAAAAACGAGATTTTTTTTTATTATTTTATTATTTTTTATTTTAGTTAATTCAAATTCCGAAATTAATATTTTAAAAAAGAATTTTTGGATTTTTCCATTTATTTTGCATTTTAAAATTATTTTTAGATTTGGTCTCACGGTCTCACAAAATTAGTATGGTCTCAAATGAACTTGAATATATATATATATATATATATATATATATATATATATATATATATATATATATATATATATAGGTTTAGGTTATATGGAAAATAAGAAAGCGTAAAAAAAAACACTAAAAATCATAAAAATGCATAAAAAAATACGTAGACATCACAAAAAAAATTTTGATTTTATATTATGAATTTTCGCTGGAATTTGTTTTTAAAAAAAAGTGATTTTTTCAACGATTTTTTGGTATATAAATTTAAAAAAAAAAATTGTGATGTCTAAGTATATTTTTTTATGTAATTTTAGGATTTTTTTTGTTTTTCATATTATATATATATATATATATATATATATATATATATATATATATATATATATATATATATATATATATATATATATATATTGAATCAAATAAAATTAAATCCTATACAAGAAAAATAGAAAATGAAATAAAAATGGTAAAAATATATTCTTTATGGCCAAAGATATGTACAAGAAAAACAAATCACTAAGACCATACAAGTAAACATTTCAATTATTGTTCCGGGGTAAGTGATTCGTACACAATATTTTTTGCTATGCACAACAATTTATGTATTATAAAGTTGTAAAATACAATATTTTAAAAGCATAAATTGTTGTGTACGAAAAAAAAAATATTTTATACGAATCAATTCCCATGTACAATCGTGAAATATTGTATTTAATTTTGTGATATGTTACCTTTATCCGACGAAAACCGTAACATTTGAGGGAATTGTAGCTTTTATGAATAACGGTAACATTTAATAAAGTGAAGATTTTTATTACTTCAGCTTCTAAAAATCTTGCCACCCTGGAAGCAGCCCAAGTACCACTTAAATAAGTGTTTGATTGAAGGCGGCACTTATTGGCACGTAATCTACTTAAATTAATTGCGTATCCACCATATTTAAAGTATTTTTAAATAGGGTAAGTTATTTAAATGGTACACGGTTTAGAGTAATTTTTGTGTTCGTTCTTCAACAATTTTTTTGAATTTGGACCGTACTTACATTATATTTTTGTTGTACGTTTGGTCTCAATCCGTTCTTAAAAGTCTAATTTACACCCATCCACTTATTTTTTAATTAGATTTTTATTTATTTAAATAATAAAATAAATTAAAATGTGACTCATCCCTACCCAACCCTCCTCCCCTCCTTATGTCCAC